TGCGGAAGGAAAGCGGCGATTGCGGTTCCCGTAGCGGGGCTGGGCCGGGCTGGGCCCCAGCTGAGTGTGGGGGGCCATCGCGGCTCTGTGGCGGGGGTTTCCCTTACCCCTGAGGGGGAGCAGGCTGCTCCGGGGCCCCTGCCCGTGTTCCCCCGCCCGCGGCCGCATCTCCCGCTGCCGGCACCCTCGGCTTGGCCCGGTGAGCCGCGGTGCCACAGGTGGGAGGAGGCAGCAGATCCTGCTCCTGAGGCACCTCCGGATGGCAGGGACGGCTCAGGCTGTGCATTTTCTGTTCTCACTGCTGGGGGGATGTGGTAACAAAGCAATTGAACCGTCTCTTCAGGGAAACGTGGATTGTAAAAGCAGACTTAATTTTGTGCTTTGCTTTGGTACCAAAGAGCTGATTTCTGAAACCATTTCCCAGCTCACAACACATCTCTAGGCATTAAAATGTTGTGAATTTGCTTGTCATTACCAATATTTTCTTTGACTGAAGCTATTGAAACAAAGTGGTCTTTTTTTTTTTTTTTTCGTCCCTATAACCTTCAATCTTGCTTCTAAAAGCAGTAGCTCTCTTTTTCTTTCTTTCTTGGTCAAATATAAAAATGATGATAATTTCAAATACTGCTTTAGAATAATTGCTTTCCTCCCTCTTTTGTATGACAACAGAAGCTTGGCCTGATCTTAAATCAGATGCTGGCAGGCAGAGGGCTCTTGACAGCCCTGCAAAATCCTTTAGTTACAAGTCGGTTTTAGCCAATTCTTTATTTGTAAATGACAATTTTCTACAGAAAAATATATGCTTGGGCTTCAATTTCAGAGCCCTAGATTGCAGCCAGGAAAAAATAATTGAATTTTTTACACTTTTTTTCCCCCCCCTTCTCTCTTTTTCTTTCTGACTTATAAAAAAACCCAAACAGAAAAAGTGAGGCTCTGTAAGGTGTGACTGGAGCTGACTGAGGGGAATATCCACCCTGGCTGATGTGCATGGTTGTGGGGACAGGAGTGATGATTAATTTGTTCCATGCTGGGAGGATTTGGGGCTGCTCCGAGCTTTGTGTCCGATGCCTCAGCCCCATGGAGGCTTTGCCACTCTGGTGTGGTGTGACAGGGTGGCCCTTGGTGTGGAGCAGGTTTGAGCTATCCTCGTGACCTCAGCAGCCCTCAGAAAAGGCATCTTTGGAATCTTTAGCAAGAAAATCAGAAAGCGATAAAACTTCCAGGTAGCAGGGTCAGTGCCCGTGCCTCTGTTTGCCAGTCTGTGGTTAACCAGACAGGTCCTGGCTCTGGAGGTAGGGGTGTTTTTCCCTTCAGTCTCTGGAAGTTGGCTGCTTCACCCAATTTCCAGAGAAAGTGCGTTTTGATGCCTGGGTTTGGTACTGGGGTGTTGGTTGGTGTCCTGAGTTGGGCTCTGTTGACTCAAACATCTCTCTGAGGTGGGGTGGCTGCTGCTGAGCTGTCTCCAGCTGCAGGGCATGGCCTGCTCTGAGCCCTCCCCAGCCTTCTGAGAGTGCTGACAGCATTGGCCTGGATCTGCCTTGAGTCATGGTGGCCCACAAGCATCAGGTGGTTTGGGATCAGCCCACCAAAGACACCTTAGGCTTTGTGTCCCTGGGCTGATCCTGCCCATCTTCAAGAGCTGCAGGTTATGGATGATGGGTTCTGCTGTGGTGCATTCTCTGTAGGGGATCCAGCACCATCCCTTTGCCTTGTGGGGCCAAACTCAGGCACCTGGGGCAGCAGGAGGAGCAGGCTGTTCAGTTGGGCTCTGGGGAGCATGGACAGGTTCCTGGAGGGGCTGATCTGGGGAGCATGGACAGGTTCCTGGAGGGGCTGATCTGGGGAGCATGGACAGGTTCCTGGGGGGACTGATCCAGCCCTGTGGATGGTGATTCCATGAGCATGGGCTGCGGTAGCTGGAGGGTGCTGCGTCGGCAGCTCTGGCTGTCTTTCAACGTTTGATTATTTTAAAAGTAACTGTGCAAGTTCCTTTTAAACTGACCCATGGAAAGTTAATAACACATCACTTCAATTTGATGTAATTGCCTTTTGCCTGCCAAAGAGCGTTCAGCCTGTCTGTAGGAAAAGGAGGGGCAAAAGCACCTCTGGTTTGAGACAGTAGCTATGAAGATACAATGCTTGGACTCCTTTTTCACTTATATTTGCATTGAGAAGCACAATAAAAATCATTTATTAAAAAAAAATATCCGGGGGCTAGAGTTGTTATTGAGAGCCTTTACTCAGCCATCTCTCAAATAAAAACAAAACAAGATGGAGAAAGAAGTATCTAATCAAATTGAATTGAAATTGGTTTTGTAAAGAAGTATTCTCATCATTTGGGTTAGGGATGGGATCTGAAGAGTATTTCTTTTTTCCACTTACTGTTTGAAATAATCTGGTTAAACCATATGCTTGTCTTGTAATTTCTTACAGATGGTCACAAGAACAAAGAAAATATTTGTAGGTGGATTATCGGCTAACACAGTAGTGGAAGACGTGAAGCAATACTTTGAACAGTTTGGCAAGGTAAGTTCTGCCCAAGTGAGCACTACAAAGTTGTTTCTTTCTTGCCTTTGTTTTTAAAGTGTGTTTTGAAAAACAAAAGTGCATTGAGGACTGAGCTCAAAGGAGGGCCAAGCTTTTGCCTTTCTGTGTCATTTCTTGAGGCCTAAGGGATTCCTTTCCTGTTTGTTGCTTGTGTGTGTACAACATTGCCAACACTGTTTACTTCCACTAAAGAAAAAAAGCATCACTAGGAGGTGAATCTGTGTCTGTTCAAGAAGAATCTGACCCTTAGCTGAAGGATTACACAGTTGTCTTCTCCATAAAATCAGCCTTCTGTTAGTCCTGATTCCAGTGGCAAAAAAGGGCAGATAGATGTATTGGAGAGCTCATTAATTTGTGAAAATGCCTGAAGGAACCACGTGAAAAGCAAGAGTAATGTGGAAGTCACTAGAATATCCACTTAATTTCTTACTAGAAAATCCTTCTGCAAGTATGTGTAGAATGCTGGCATCACTGAAAAAAAAAACCAAAACAAAAAACCAAACAATCCCTCCGCCCCCCGCAAAAAAACCCTCACCGAAGTCCCAAAACAAACAAGTTTATGCAGAGAAGGAGATCTGAGCCTTGCCAGAGTAGTCTTTGCTGTGATGTACCAGCTCAAACCCCCCTGTCCAGGCTTTGGCCCAGTGACACTGACTTCTGTGGAGCTCCCTGGATCCCCACAGCTTCTGAACGCTTGGTTCAGGAGTGCTACGGGTGATGAGCTCGTGGAGCTGCCTGCTCTGAGAACAGTTTGTGCTGCTGCCTTCTGCCAGCCCCACTGTCCACAGGACCCCATGACTTCCAGCTCCATGGGTTCCAGCCTGACAGCTCGATTCCTGTCTTTTGGAGTGCAGCAATCGATGTTTTAGATGCAAGATTGCGTGAGGACACAGCAGGATATCCCAAAGCAAAGCAGCTCCCATTCCTTGTAGTTAGTTTATGTTTCTTTTATATGCCCTGGAAAGCCTGAGCCAGGCAGGATTTTGTTGAGGGCTGAGGAGGCGAGTTTATAAATGGTTCCTGTGCTGGATTGATAGTTGTTTTGCAAACCAGTCATTTTATTTTCAATAATAATCTTCGATTCCGGCAGGATGTTTACAGCCTGCTGAGCCTTTTATTAAAGGATTACATGAGCTTTTGGATGTTTCTTCTGTAGTTACTTCTAATTGCAGAACTCCACTAACCTGTATTTTTCAAGTTAATAATAGTTTCAATATAAGTACTTTGCATATTGTCTGGATGTTGTCTTAATATAGGCTTTTTAATTTCACCATCTGGTAGTTTCATGCTTGCAGTTTTACAGTCCCTGAGAATGCAGCAGCCAGGCTGTGTCTCGGGAGTGACTGGGGATTCGGGACGCTTTGGTTCTGCTTTCATGCTCTGCCATTCTTGAGACAGCTTAGCAGAGGTTTGCCTTCCCAAAGGCAGTACTTCGGAAAAATCAAGTGTTTTTTTTCAAGTGTCTTAATTTTGTGGGCTAAAAAATTTAAGGAGCTGAAAATGGCACAAGTTGGGATCAAGGTAGGAATGCATTCCCATGTCAGCACAGCTGGGGTTGTTCCGCTGAGGCTGCGTGTCCAAGAACTAGAGCTGAGCTCCTGCAGGAGCCAGGCTTGCAGGGCTTGTCCTGTCACTGCAGGTGACCTGTTTTACAGTCCCCTGTTCCAGAAGACCCATTGTGGAGAGTTTGGTGAAGCTGGTGGTGCTTGGAGCAGAGTCTGCTTGGCTGTGTGACTATGACTCAACCTTGGTGGAGGTGTTTGAGTTCTCCCCCTGACACTGCTTTTCATCAGCTTTTGGTTTTGGGGTGTTTTCAGGAGATTCTGCTCAAGGCTCTGGTTGTCAGGGGGTGGTTGATAACCCTTAGAAATGGGGAGCTGTGGTTCAGCTAAATTAGAAGACTTGGTAACTTGCTGTGGACAGTGGGATGCTGCGTTCAGATACCATGACCCAGGACTGGTGCTGCAGGATCTTGCAGGAGTCAGTCCTTCTCCATCCCACTTCTCTGCCCTTCTGGGACTTCTGTGCTGAGATCAGCCCTCTGAGGCAGGGCCTGTGCTCAGCACTCAGCCTGGCTCTCCAGTTGGGCCATTTCCATGCACACAGTGATCCACATCGATCGGCCAGCTCTGCCTTTGCTTAGAGCTTTCTTAAAATAAAACAAATTGCATTACATAATTAATGTGTGAGGAGCCGCCCGTGTTTGATAAGAGCATCTCAGGTGATTTGCTCTTTGAAACGCTGAGCTTATTTATTGGCGTGGAAAAAATTGCCTGACGACCTCTGCGATTCCTGAAATCGTGTTTGTACTTGCTGTGCAGAGGAGCTTTGCAGCCAGGGGAGCTTGTTTGGTGACTGGAAGCAGTTCTCAGAACACAGGATGTGCCACCAGCCTTGGGGCCAGGCAGGCTCTCTCGTGTAACTGGAGTTGGAAGTAGGGGAGCAAAGTTTGAATTTGAAACTGCAGCTTTTTGAAAAGTCGGTGCCAGAACCTTTGTCTCCAAGAAAAGGAAAAGCTTTAGTAAACCCACCAGTGACAGTGCTTGATGATACAGCACCCAAAGCATGTGGTAATGATAATTCCTGAAACTTAGCTTGTAAGATTTCTCATAGTGATTAGTATTTCTTTCCAAAAAAGCCCAGGAGTCCCAGATTTCCTTTTGGCAAGGTTGGCATCCTTAGCTGCCTTAAGCAGTGGAGGAAACTGGGGAAAACAACCCCTGAGTGAAGGCAAAAGGCATCACAGAAGGAGCATGGAACAGTGTAATGAACAGCCTTGTGAGTGCTTAGAGCTGCTGAGGCTGGTCCTGGGCACCTGTGGGTGTTTGGGGCTCCCCAGAGAGGCTTGGTGGGGTCTGGGTGCTGAGGAGGGGAAGGATTCTCCTTCCAGTCATTTCAGGGGGCAGAATCCATGGAGGAGATGAGAAGGCAAAACTGGGAAAATACCAAACTAAGCCATAAGCATTTACAATTAGAAGAAGGAAAAAAAAAGCCATTGTGTTACTCCCGATCCTGACAGTCTGATGCAGTTGTTTGCAAGATCCTCTCCTGTTTCAGTTTCAAACATTCTTACAAACAAAATAATTCACTGTCCATGTTGACCCATTCTGGGCTCTGCAGCATTGCCCTTGTGCTGGGTGTGAAAAGCTGCTGAGACCAGGCTTTAGAAGAATTTATATGAGAAGTTTTTTAAGCTGAGAAGATGCAGGGGGAGCTTAGTGGGGCTGGCATTGCTCCCCTCCGAAGAGGCCATGCTGTAGCTGCAGGTCTGACTGTTTTCTGGCTGGCTGGAGGGGTGGCAAGCGTGGAGCTCTGAGACTGGGACATGATAGAGCATTTAAGGCATCAGGCATCATTTAAAAAATGAAAAAACCGCAACAGACTCCTCAAGGCTCCCCTGGAGTCCTGTGAGCAGTAGAGGAAAGCTCTGAATGCTCGTGGGCTCGGAGGACCTGCGTGTGCTGCAGCTCGGAGCGCAGCACGGCCCCGAGGGCAGGGAGGGCTCCAGGTGTTCCCCAGGTGCTGCTCCCTGCACACAGCTCCTGTGGGAGCAGCCCAGGCCTTCGCCTGCACCTTGCAATTACACTTCACATGGCCAACTGTGTAATTAGTTTGGAAGACTTATGCCTAGTCATTGGTTTATCCTAATCGGCTTTGGCTTTTCCCAACAACAAAGTGAGCTTATTTTCCTAAGCTGAAACAACTCTGCTCCCTTTGTTCCTCTCTTTTATTGTCTCATTCCTTTCATTCTGTTTTACTGCCAAAGTTTTGTTTCATTAGGCCTACAAGTCATTTCCAATCCAGTGGGCTGCTACAATAAGGCCTTTATAACTCAGCTGCCCTGGTTCCCATGTCCCTTCTGGTCCAGAGCCAGGACTTGCTGTTTGACATGGGATTTTAACCCTTTGGCTGCCCCAGCTGCTGGTTCCCCCTTGGGGCCAAGCCAGGCTGAACCCCTGATGAGCTCATGGATCCTAATGATTATGTGCAGCCATTAATTGATAGGCTAATGGGCTCCAGGTAACGTGTTTGGGCCCAATTATGGAAACAGAATTCTGAGTAAAAACCTTCTTACTGTAATGAGTTGTGGTGGGAACAGTCCTTGGAATGAAAAGGCCACTGTGCCCTTCCAGCAGGGTGGGAACAGAGTTCTGGTGAAGGTATGTTCCAGTTGTCCTGAGGTGTTAGATCAGACCATGTAGGACTGTTCTTGTAGAAAAACCATGTTTTCCTGTGTAGGAGAGAACACAAATTTAAATTTACCCTTTTTTGAACCAGAATGATAATGTTTGAAGATGTGTGAAATAGTTTTGTGGACAGACAATACTTTTCCATATTGCTATTTCAGACTACTGGAGGAGCAGTCAGTGCTGATGGGGGTGGCCCCAGATGTTTTACTTTCAATCTGAGAGCACTGGCTCTTCAATTTTCCTTTCACAGCAATTCTAAAGTGTAAAGCAATTCTAAAGTTTCCCTTTCAGGAAAAGGGGTGCTCTGGCATTTGTTTTTTATTTCAGATTTCTGGATGAAATTGCACCAGACCAGCATGCATTAATTTTGTTTTGTGTCCTGGCTTGCTAGGAGGTCCTTCAGACCTGTCATAGGCATGTTTCAGCTCCACTTGGAATATGTTGCTTCCTCAGGAATGGCTTTGGATTTGGAAATTTTGAGACAAGACAGAATTTCTGTATTACCTCTGTGGATTTGAATTGTTTTGTTCAGTCACTTGTTATTTCCTGTGAGATGCAGAACAGACCAATGGAATAATAATAATATCTGGATTCTGAGCTGGGTTTTTTTCCCAGGTAAGAGAGAGAAGGTGCCTTCTCTCACTTGTCCTGGCTCCAGGCACACCTCCACAACCCCATGGTGCTGCCTCACAAGGAGCTAAGGCTGGAAGTTGTGAACAGCACCATGAGAACAAGAATTTCCTCCTTTGGCTGTTCCATGCCCTGCATTATAACATGGACCCTGGTGCA